ATTCATTTATGTTCGAGCTTGTCATGCGCGCTTCTCAGTATGCCGCTCCTCAAGCACGGCCCAGGAGAATTTGCGTTTGCGAATGTTGAACAGGCGATATCCGTGCTCACGCACTGATGTATTGCTGAGGCCGCGAAGAGACTACTTTTCAATCTGCGTCTTATCCCCTGGAAGCGTACTTGGCAAAAATTGACTGCGTGCTACTGCATTTGCACTTTGGTCGCGTTACTGGTTGTTTTCCGTGATATTGTGTAATACGATGATTTTTGCCTGTTTGTTACTCATGTTAAAGTTTGGATCTCCTTTTCTTTCTCTTCATTTTTTTATGCTGCTTCGAGTGCCAATTGCTATGAATGTCTTGTAAAACGTGCTCCTATCGGTCGCTCCTCGCACAGTCTATCTAATTGTTGCTGGTTTGTTCGTTTTTATGGCTCGTTTCTATTGATTTTCTTCAAAGTTGCATAAATTTTAATTATAGCTTAGTATGGTTATCTGTCAAGGTGGTCATTAGATGCATCCATAGGGACAAACACAAGCAAGCGGGCTGGTCAGCGGCACGTTCCTCATAATCCGCTCAGGAATATCTCTCGCAACGCCATCACTTATGCTTGCGATACGAGCAAGGGTCAAGCGGTTGCGCCAGGCCTGTTTCGTCTGGACCATCTTATTAACGCATTTCGACAAGGTACTCGCGACCAGAATTGAGTGGCATTGTGTTGTGAATCTTATGAAGCGCTGGACGCCAAAGGGGCCATGTTTTGCTGGGCCCTTAGCTATGCCTACCGTTCGACGTAATGTAGCAGTGGGGGGGAGATATCAGTGGCGGGCCAGTTGACACCTTTTTTTGGAGAGGCATGTCATGCACCTTGCGGCAAAGAAAGTCTCTGTCATCGGATGAGCCGACACCATATTGCCTGGACGAACAAATGGCAGGCATTTTAGCGCCTCCTCTTGGAGGAATGCAGGATATCTTTCGGTAGGTAACACTCGGTCTGCTGAGCACCGGTGTGCAGCCTGTCGTTGAGAAAACGTCTCACACAAAGGATGGTCGGACGGGCGCTGCGTAGTACCCGTGCGTTCTATCTCCAGCCAGTGCTTGTAGGCCTTTCGGTGGATGCTTTAAATTGGAGAGTGAATGCCGTGTCGCTCGATGTTCGATGTAAAAGGTGCGTGGCGCTCGACTGGTTTCATTCTAGCGCAGGAACTCAGCTGGGCATTCGTAACTCTTCGAGACGCACCGTATTAGTTGGATCCCGGTGAATGGTTGTCCGCGCACAGTAACTGATCAAAGGCATGCCCGATTAGCTAGCACTTTCTTGCAGAGGTTTCGATAGCGTGTTTCATCATAATCATTTGAGGCGTATACAATCATTCACAGCCGTGAATTCTCGTAGTAGTAACAGTCACGTAGAATTTTGCATACCACTGGAAAAGCTCAGCACAAGTAGCAGCTATCCGACGAGCTTTCCTCCGCTAGGGATAAATTAATACGTTTTCGAAGGGGTCTGGCTTCTTACCGCAGCTAGTTGGTCTTATCGTTGCTGCTCCCAGCTTTGTCCGTGATAAAACAGACAAAATGCTAAATGAGACAACAGTTTCAGACACTCCAATTGTTTGCTCTGGGATAATGTTCAGTCCTTGAAAGCTGCTGCAATTCGCAGACCGTCCGCCACAAACATTCAGAGCTGCAGCGACGAATGCTTCTGTATTTTACATGTGTTGTTTTACTCGGGGATGCTAGAAGCACGCAATATGGAAATGTGCCATCCAGTCCCTTCACTTTCGGGGCCTCAAAGAAAAGACAGCGAAATCTTGTGTGCCTATGTATGAAGTAATCAAAATGACTTATGGTGCGCATGTCACTAAGTGTTTTGAAATCCGATTCCACAGCTGCGAAAGTCAATTGAGATACAGTTCCGACTGTCCAATCTCTGTTCGTTTACAAGGCACCAAATCCACGTTAGCAGTACGAATAGTTATTTGCGTTACAGCTTAACATGTGCATTCGCAGTAGCAATTTTGTGATCTTTTTCCACATGCAGAAGGGAAAGGGCGTCTTTTGGGACGGCGATTTTCCACCATGGGGCCCCATGAACACGCGACCTCTGGCATGTACATTTATCATAAACTTTTCATCAGACAAGATGAAAAATAATTAGATGTTACTTGACCGGTCGTTGAAACTGCGAATTAGTCAATAAGCAGGATGTGGAGAAAGATGGCGAAGTTGCATAAAATTTTCGCACACACATACGTGAGAATCAGACGCATACAGGAACTGAATTTGGAATCTCGGCCGTTCGTGGACAGGGCATATCCCTTCAAAATTTTAGCTTTCTGGCTTTTCCGATTTCCGAATTGATTTTTCCGCCGAAACCTTCCGAAATTTAAGCTTAAGCTTCACGCAACTCTGGGCCACGCGCGGTCTCCAGAAGTTTTGGCGAGACAAATTATTGTCTCGAGGACCAGAACAAATAAGGGGCTGAGACATTAGGAGGAAGTTTTCTGCCTATGCGGGGACTTCACAAACTTAAATTTATCTCTCACGTATGCCTGGGTCGTACGGCCACATGAAAGTTTTGGTGCGAAAATCACTAATTCGGAAACAGACGACCAAGAAGCTGGAATTTTACAGGGGTGTTCATCGCTCATGTGCGATCCAAATGTTTTAAATCAACCTTCACGTATATTTACGTCTCACGTAGCAGTACGTGGAATTTAGTGAGAAATTTCGCAATTTATGAAACAATAAACGTAGGATTATGGTTTAACTTATGGCAACTAATAAATTATAGTAATACATAGGAACTGAAAAAAGGAACGCCCCACTGGGATGTTAAAGTTCTGTTTGATGTTTTGCAAAGTTTTGCATTGGGATGTTAAAGTTTGAACGCTGCATTGGGATGTCAGAGTTAAAAGGTTAAAGGAAAATTTTAGAAAAACACAGTAAAAGGATAAGTGAAAAAAAAAATAATTAAAACCTTACCTCCAACATTATCAGAAGCAATAACCTCAGGTAAAATATCGAAGTCCAAAAATTAACCGAATAAACTGAGCCAAATATTCTAAAGTATGAGAATTAAGTAAATTATAAAATAACATACGAAGTGCGAACACACGGAACACGCAAATAATTGTCGAAAAGATAGCACAAATCCCAGAGTGTATTATTTAATGTTACAGTGTTAATACGTAAAATTTAAGGAGATTTAATGGGTAACAAGTAATATAAAGAGGTGAAAAAAGTAAACCTAAATAACTTATCTGTTAAGAAAATAAATGTGCGTATTAATGCATGCACTGAGTGAAATAAAAAGGAAAAGATAAGCAAATGGTTTTAGAATTATAAGACCAAATAAAGGAAATAAGAAAGTAGGGAGTAACTAAACTGATTAAAAAGTAATTAGTGAGGAAAAAATCAAGAAGGGTAATAAATGAAAAGGGGAAAAGTAATGATAAAGGATAAGAGATAAAAGAATAAAAAGTTAAAAGCAAAATAAAATTCAAGTGAAAATAATAAAAGCAAAATTAAGATAAAAAATAAAAAATACGAGTAAAAACAAATGAATAGAAAACACTGGAATTAACTGTTTTTTAAAGAAATAATCGTTGTTAAAAGACTTCTTATATCACGTTCTCCACACATTAAATATCTAGAGAAAAAAA